GGGGGGGGGGGGTTGGGGGGAAAGACCATAACGCTTACCTTAATAATTTCATTAAAGTGCCCTTTTTATTCCCACCTCCAGCCGGCTCCTTTTTATTCATTTTTTTATTCAATTTTTTTGCGTTTTGATTGAAAGTTCTAACTGAATTGCTGTGTTTTTTTTTTATTTTCTATACTGTATAAACTCCGGCTGTATCAATTGTTTCAAGTAAAAAAATTTACATTTATCGCTAGAATTTAAGTTAAGTAAAGTAAAATAGTAATCAAGTGGCTAGTGGGTTATTAGTAAAATACTTCCTAATTTAAAATAAATGTAATATATATATTAATTTTTATATTAATTTTAGTGTAATTTTGATGATGTTGGAGGGCTAAAAGTGCTTCATTTACTATTGAATATGTTTTACTCAAACATAATCTCAATTTACAATGCAATGTAAATTTATCTTTTCTGTCCATAGGTCTATTATCATTCTGATTTGACGATCTTAGATCCTATTATTCAGCCTGTGCACACCTGTCATCTATCATTATAAAACATGTGTGTTTGTCAGATATGACTACCAATCATATCGAATTAAACTTTTGACTTTCTGAGTTCGCATTGCATTTGACTGCATCATGCTGACATTTTTTTTCAATTAGTGTATTTGGTCCTTAAATTTTTGTTATACAGGCTGCGACATTGATGCAGGCAGACATGAAAACCGTGGAAGGTTTGTACAATAGCGCCGTGGACCTCGACCGACTTAACTCAGCTCAGGTGCGCTACATACTTCGAGCCTATCGCCCATCGTATGCTCGCTCCCTTCGGCATCTCAAAGACGCCTCCAGCATCACAACCGGATCCACATCTGAGTGCATTTCTGTCCAATGGATTGACTTTATAATATCCGGAGTGACTCAGGTACACTATTCCCCCCCCCCACAAACGAATGCGTTTTGTTAATGATTGTTTGAAAATGACTGGGTTGCATTATTATTATTATAATTTAGCGCAACTCACCTTTTATTAGCTTCGTCAAAGTGGAACATGAATTTCACGTCCTCGAAAGGCTTAATTGAGAAAATTATGTCATCAAATCGAATTTAGTGCATTTTTATTAAAATTTTTTACTCATTATGACACCTCATTGGAGCAATGTCGGTCCTAGTGAAAAATGAATAAAATTATTTTGTAACTGCAAAATTTTAAAGAAATTTCACCATTCCGAGGCTAAATGTACATTGTGATTGGTGAAGTGGTTAAAATTGGCTGACAACCACTTCGACTTTTCTCTGAGGTGATGCAAGGGGGGATTTTGCTACTACCTTAGGTATAGCCTATTATTGGCTACTCTCGTTTGTTGTCCAGGGCATAACTACTGCGATGGCCAGCAGGTTCACTTAGGCAGCCAAATTCAACCTAAGCCTCTTCCAAAATCAGTGAAGGGAGGCATTAGATCACCTCAACCCCCCCCCCCCCCCCCCCCCTCCCCCCCTATTCGCTGGACGCATCCGATGATGTTGACAATTTGGAGAAATTTTAGTCTGCATGATTCGAAGAGTATCGTTTGGGCTGCTTTATACAGACCATCTGCTATTCTGTGTGTGTTGTGTTTTTAATCTTGTGAAAATTTTTTTTTTGTAAAAAATCAGATTGTTTGTGCCTCTGCTCAGAAGTTCGTCACTTGTATTAGACAATTTATGCGAAGTTTGTTTTCGTGAAACTTGAGGGTAAATTTGATTTCAGGGGGCTGAAGAATTCTATTAATTCTGGCGACATGCCGGAATTGCGCTACAGGGTGATCCAACAGCTTTCTGCGGCAGATTTGCTCGAAAATCTGATCGCTCTATGTGCTGCTTTTTCATATTCACAGTCTTGTAGTCTCCACTGCGATTCTCCAATTTATTCCGCATTTTCTTCACAGTTTTATGGGAGCATTGAGGAGCATCTATAACCTCCTTATCTTGATTGAGAGCTCGTAGCGCTACGTGTTATTCCAATCATCTTTTTTCGCTGACAACACACATATATGAGCTTAAAAAAGGTCTTGAAACTTTGCAGTAAGAGTTGTTCAAGTGAATATCTTTAAAACATCTCCAAAAAGACAAAATGTGAGTAAGTTTTGTTTATCTCTCCTTTGTCTTATTGCAGATAAAACAATTATTATAAGTCTTTTTCGTGTGTAACAGGAGGGGGGGGGGGGGTGTACTTTAAATATCGATTTTTAACGCATCCGGCTAACTTACAATCTCCCTTAATCAGTGACAGAGCACTTCATTTGAATTTTAATTAATTTTTAATAGTTCCTTAAATTTGCAAAGGAGGAAAGTTTAATGATTTTAAGAACTCCTTGATGAGGTTTTCCATACTCTAGGTTGTCTTATTAAGAAAAAAATTGCGTTTGTTTTTCTTCTCCATAGAAATTGCCAAAATTTTCTGCCGTTTTAGCTCAATAAAAGCTTTTTTCCCATTCCAGGCTCTAACTCACCCTTGGCGCGCACCTTAGCGTTCTAATGTGGAGTGTTGGGCTAACTTTAACGACTACTACTCCCAAATGCCCATCAACCTAGTTTTGAAGAAAAGTTAATTGGGTTTTTAAGAACAATTTTCTCACACACCAAGGTTTTTTTCCAGATATTATTCCCCTTCTGGTATTTAACGTAGATAAATTTGCCCCTAAACGGTTAGTAGAGTATTTATAAAGATGGTGATCGATGTTGAACAATTTACATCATGTTCTCTCTCTAACACCTGTTAGGTTTCTGATCGACTTTTATCGGAAGAATCCGAGCAATCAGATTGGAAACCCCAGCTCCTTGAGCCTCTAGACCTTCGTCTTCCAATCCTCCTTCCAGACGATTGTTATCCCTCTTCCACACGGATTCGAAATCCTCATCTTGAATCAAACACAGAGTCTTCCCATGAGTGCCAAACAGATCCCGATAACTCATCTTTAAAAAGCCAATCTGGAGCCGTGGAAGTCAGCGAACTTTCAAACTATCTTCAGCCAGCACTTCTCAGTGGATGGTGCCGCCTGTCTTTCAGACAAAATCCAAATCTGAGATCTGAACCCTGGCTGTCCTGGGACGTTTATCTAGCAGCTGAAAATGTATCTTCATCTAATGAGAAAGTTTCCAATCTCTCAGTTGATGTCGATTCGCCATCAAGAGATAGTCCTGGACCAAAGGTGCAGAATTTTTATTTCTCAGAAGAATACCTTGAATTTTCTTTCTATTGACCTTTTTATTCTCATGTCTAGACCCCTCCCGCTTGTGAACCACCATTGCCTCCGGTCCCAAAACCCATAGAACTCATCAATACAGACTCCCCTGTCCAAGAATCTACAACTGAACTCGACTCAGCCAACCTCTCAGATTCTACAAAGGTTGACGACAGCAGTAGTATTCGGATATTCTCCGTCGCTGTTCCGAAAATTGGCAACAATCTCGGTTTGAGTATAATTGCAGCTCGTGTAAGTGTCCCACCCATGCTAATTAACCCAAAAGTGAAATATTTTCTAGGTGTGACTAGTAATGACATTTTTTGCAAAAAGTTATTGTTTATATCAAATGTCAGGCACTTTGATGGTTATCATTAGCCCTTTGGTTGACTTCAGGCTTCACAGGGAGGAGGAGGAAACATCAAAGTGAAAAAAAGTCGAGATGGGGGGGGGGAACAGAAGAGTGTTTCAAAGACGAAGCTAGAAAAGGTAGAAAAAAGGTGAAGTGAGTACTGCGGAAGGGGTCGAAAATGACATACAGTGGGGTGATGGTAGTTTGAAGTCAGAAGTCAACTGCCGGTTAGCAGACTTTTTTGGCGTATGAGTGGAGACAAGTCTATTACCCACCCCTTGTTGCAAAAATAGCATATTGGATTCAATAGCTTTTTCCCTTGGTATATACCTAGTTTACGCGCTTTCTAGACATTCGTATTACTAATATGTGCCCTTTAAATTAATTATCATTGGTGCAAAATGTGTTTAAAATGCCTTCACGTGCATTTATGGCAGTTCAAACAGTACTAGCCAAAAGTATTCGATTCCTGGACAGTGGAAGAAATGAGAGTGCATAGTGCGACGTTTATGGCTATTGCTCCACTTATCGCCAGGCATGTATTCGTTTGCGGATAATGGTTGTGACTTTGTGTCACGCATTTCACGTGTCTTCCCCCTCCCCCGCCCCCCCCCTTCCCTCCATTCTCCCTTAATTCCGCCCACATTGGGCTGATTTCGATTCGCATTAAACCAAAATTGCACACAGAAATATCAACGCGAT